AAGTCTGTATGAGATATATCGGCCGTGCGTAAACGGTGATTAGCAAAAGGTTTTGTGGCTCTATGACAGAATCTCCACGCGAACATTCTAGTATATATTTCTAATATAAGACCGGGGTTTGTAGAGAAGGCATGGGCAGCTGCTAGAGCTACTGATGACAGCAGCAGTACTGGTATACATGGTCTGCGTGTGTCTACGTATAGCGCTACAGACAAGCTGAGAATACATAGGTCTCTTCCCTGTCACCCTGCGAAAAAGGACGCTCGCGACTCCCTCTAGCATCTATTTTCTTCAATCAGCGCCCCCTAGGTCAAAGAATTCCGTCCGCATGAGAATAGCATAGATTCCGTCCATCATAGATCTTCTAGGCCGCGTCAAGATCGCACGCAGGTGGCGCCACTATCGAAGGTTGCCCGCGTTAGCACGTAGGTGGCGCCACGGTCTCCCGCCAGGTGGCGCTCCTACGAGACGGGGCGTCGGCGGACGAGTCGGTCGGTGCTAGCTCGCTGCTGCATGCAGTGCGTGTAGGCGTGGTTGCGCGACCAGTCGCAACCGCCCCCTGGGTGCCGCAGGCACACAGACAGCGCCCCCTGGCAGTCGGGACCCTGCAGCGTTGTCGTCCACTGACAGATATTCTCGCTGGCGTGACACGAGCCGTCCAAGTACCACGGACACGGGTTGATCTGCGTGTACAGAGCAAGAGTGAGGTGATGATGATGATGATGATGATGATGATGATGATGATGATGATGGTAATGATGATGATGATGATGATGATGATGATGATGATGATCAGGGCTGATGATGATGAGAAAGAATCAGGCCAACAGAAAGAAAGAGAGAAAGAGAGAAAGAAAGAGAGAGAGCGAGAAAGAAAGAGAGAGAGCGCTAAACCTAATACACACTAGCTCTCTACACGGCGCCATCTGGTGGGCACTCGCTCACCTTGCATCCGCATCCCTGGCTGTAGAGACGTTTGAATCCCTTCTGCTGCTTCGGCGTCAGTGAGTACCACTCTGCTACGTAGCTACACGAAGTCAGGTACGCCTTGCCCTTCACCACAGCACCTGTGCACAACGTCAGCAGAGAACAGTCAGTAATCAAGTCAAGAATTGTCAGAGCAGAATATTGTCAACCCGTGAGCGAGGGAGGTAGATTGCTATTGGTTGTTACTATGGCTACGGTTATGGTTAGGGTTAGGTTTAGAGCTGGGGCTAAGGTCAGAGTTAGAGCTAGGTTTTGGGTTCGGGTTAGGTGTAGGATTAGGCCTAATGCTGAGGTGATGTTTAGGGTTTGAGTTACAGATAGGACTAGGACTGGGGATACGGTTGGAGTTAGGGTTGAGTCAGGGACAGGGCAATAGCTAGATTACAGACCTAGTTACCTGCCAGGGTGTACTTGGCTAGGGTTAGGGTTAGGGTCAGAGATAGACCTGGGCGTGGGGTTACAGCTGTTACCTGCTAGGATATACTTGGTGCTCGTGCTAGGGTCATGGATAGAACTATGGCTAGGGCTGCAGCTGTTACCTGCTAGGATATACTTGTTGCTCGTATTAGGGTTTGAGTTAGGGTTATAGCTGGTATTAGGGCTGTTACCTGCTAGGATATACTTGTTACTCGTATTAGGGTTTGAGTTAGGGTTATAGCTGGTATTAGGGCTGTTACCTGCTAGGATATACTTGGTGCTAGTGTTCAGCGATACTCCGCACGTTCCATCGTCCGGTGCCGTCCAAACAATCGTTCGGGGAACCCTGTTATACGCCTTCGTCATCTGCGGACGAAAACACACATGCAGACGTGATACGATACAGCAGCGAATAGCAGTAATATAGAAGTAGTAGTAATAGTGGTAATAGCAGGAGTGAATGAGAACAAATTGTGTATACCTGGTAATAGTAATGCCTTCTCTTAGGACGCGAGTGAGAGAGACGAAAAGAGAGCGATAGAGAGCAAGAGAGAGCAAAAAAGAGCAAGCGAGAGCGAGAGGTAGCGAGATGGACCGAGAGCACGAGGCAAAGAGGGAGAGAGAGAACGATATCAAGAGAGAAAGAGGGAGAGAGAGAGAGCACGAGTACAAAAGAGAAAGAGAGAGAGAGAGAACGAGTGCAAGAGAGAAAGAGAGAGAGAGAGAGCGAGAAAGGAGGGGATAGAGAGTGAGAAATAGAACGAGAGCGTGAAATCATTGGTAGAGGGAGAGAGAGAGCACGAGTACAAGAGAGAAAGAGAGAGAGAGAGAACGAGTGAGACAGTCTACGGTAAACACTAGCATGACCCTAACGTGGGCCTCGCGGCTGCCGCAGGGACCTTCCGTCTGCCCCCGCTCTCCCGCCCGCGGTGACGCCCGCACTCTCCTGTTAGCACAGCGTGATGACACTACGGTTTTTGTTGGCACAAGGTAATGACGTGGCACTTAGTGTTGTCACAGCTACGAGGGTCTGTGTTAGCACAGAGTTATAAGGTGTTTTATGAGGTTGTTGCACCTTATTATGTAGTAGACGCGT